TTAAAAATATTATGGCTGGCTTTTTTCCTGTGGGTAATTTTTCTACCAGCAATTTTGTTCCAATTTATAATGATAGCAATTTTTCTAAAAGGACATTTTTAATGGTTTTTAATAGTAATTATCACTAGGATTTTTCATGTTGTGGAATATAACCGATTTGTAAACGAAAAACCGTTTTGTGAGGGCATAAACTGTTCTGTTTGATCCAACTATTTTATTAACAGAGTACTTCTCAAATAAAAATTAGGTAAAAAACTTTCAAAAATTAATATGTCTTTAAATAACTCAAAAATTGTTCAAATATTTTGAAAATCTTACCACTTCTATAGATTTATTTTATCGAAAGTGTCAAGTTATATACGAATATTTTTAACTAAATTACAATAAATAAAAAAAAAATTGAAAATGATAAAAGCATTGTATTCGTAATTTTAGAATCTGAAAAGAATGAAGAAGCTTATGGTTTTATAAAGATGTTTTTTTTTTTTTATCTGTTAACAACTTTTCTATCAGAAGACTTGCTCGTTATTTCTATGTGTAGCATCTTTTGCTGTGAACAGAAAAAAAGAAGGCCGTTATATATTTTAACTAATACCTACATTTCTTATATTTTCCCAATTTTCCTTCGTCTTTTCGGTTTTTCGCATTTGATGAGAAAACTCTTGAGAAAATTGAAAAATAGCCTACATAAAGTACCTCTCCACACCGATTTCCTTTAAGAAAATATGCTTTACTTAAATATTTGAGCTAGTCTTCTGGTAGAAAAGTTGTTTACAGAAATTGTGAACAAAATTATTTTTCATGGAAAAATTGGTGAATCAATTGATATTATTCTGTAGGTAAGTGCATAAATACGATTTAAATTATTGTAAAATTCATCATATTTACCGAAATTATATACTTACGTTATATTTTATGCATATGCGTGTAATAAAGTCAAGCTTTTTGTTCGGTTGTAAATATACGTAGAAACTTAAAACTTGGTAATAATACTTATATTAAACTTATCTAAACGTGGTAAAATTTCCAAAACCATTGTACGACTTTTTTCCTTTTTTAAACTTTTTTACAATAGTACTTTATTTTTTTTTTTATACTGTACACCAATTTATCCTAAGAAACTTGCACCGATGTATAAGTGTAACACCTTTCCTGAAAGTTAGTTTTATCTACTTGAAATATAAAAAGGTCATTTTTTTGATTTTCGAAACGGTATTTAAAATAAAAATTATTAATTGGGAAAAAAAATACGACTTTTTCACGATTTCGTTATTTTGAATAAGTACCTACTACGTTTCCTAGCACAAATATGGCTCCAATTGAAAAACAACAAGAGACCTTTTTTGTTGAAATATTAATCTTGTTTATAGTTTGTTTTTTTGATTTCCAAATTAGTTTTCATAATAATCAGGAAAAAATGTAGAAGGGTTAGGTTAAAAAAAATTACGACACTTCAAATTATGTATTACCGAACTGTGCTTGGAATCTTTTTTTGTCAGTAATGGTTCATCTTTGCTTACAGATATAAATGAAACAACCTTATGCACCTTACCTTCCCAACTTCCCACCTACAAAAGTAACTGCACTCGTCCCCAATATCAGCTCACTTTTAGATTTAAAGCGTAACGAGAGATCTATATGGTTTACTATAATGTGTACTTTTTTTAAAAAAATTTTTTTCTATCTGTTAACAACTTTTTGAAAAGAAATCTTGCTTCGATGTATAGATGTATAAAGTATATAGGAGTGTGTAACCTTTTTTTAAAGGAAATTTTGTCATATTGTTGCATTAAAGAAGTCATTTTTTTGATTTTTTAAGGGATTTTCGAAATAATGGGAAAAAATCAGAAAACAAATTATAAGTAAAACGGTAAACATAATCAGGAGCGTATTTATGGGGGAATTGGGTGTCTGTTCACTCCATTATTTTTTTTATTTTTACATAATGTACACAATTTTATGTTTAGATTTAAATAGACTTTCTTGCTAGGAAACTTTTTGCACTGTTCCCTCCACCTACTTCCTACCCTCATCTTCATTGGCGGGAATTTAGGGGCGTTTGACGAGCCCGTTTTAATCGCCGTTTTAAAATTAAAAGTTAACTACTAATAGCCATACCAACTAGATAATATATCTAGGCATCTAGTTATATTATTTAATAATATCTGGTTAGATAAATTGGGTCGTTGTTACAACTCAACCACAGTTATCGTCGTAATAGAGATATGCCATATACATATAATATTATATTTTTAAAACAGGAATGACTTCTGTACCTATATAATACCTATATTTGAAAATATGTTCTTTATAATCAATGAATTTAAAAATTATTAATACTGTATATTAGTTTAAAAATTAGGAAACAATTTGAGGTTTTATGCACTTCTAATCCCTTTCAACCTTCTGTTGTTGAAAAGATACGGACATACTTCGCAGGATGGGTGGATCCCTGTTGTAAATGAGAAATTGGGAAGTTAAGATATAGAGGAGAATTTAATGTAAATCTGTACGTAATAATGAATCTTTGTTAACGAAAAACTATTCGAGCAAAAGTCCGAAAGGCAGTAATTTTTACGATTTAAAAATAATACATTTAGTAAATTTTCTCGTTTTTCTTATATTTTTCCCCGGTTATTTCCTATTTATTATGGAAGCCCCTGGGAAAAATCAAAAAATGATTTCCTTTAAGAACTATCTGGTCAAGTTTCCTTTTAGAAAAAGTGCTACACCTGAAATCGCAGCAAAATCTGTGGTAGAATAGTTGTTCACAAAAAAATAAAAAATAAAAACTATAAATATCATTGTAAAAACAATACATTCCTCGCTCCGCTTAGAATATAAAATATTGATGCCTTCTATATAATATACCTTTTTTTGGGACGCAGGATGCAGCTATTCATTCTACCTTCTTAACATCCTGCTTACGACAGTGGCGTAAACTATGTCCTTTTTTTGGGGGATATTGATCAGTTACCTCTTACCCTCAGTGACTGTTTTCGGTATTTAAAAAATATACAAGTAGTCTTTAAATTAATATAACAGTTGCTTTCAACCAAATATTTTTGAAGACTTGAAGTTTGGTCAGAAAACTTATACTTGGCTTATCTAGACGTGGTAAAATTTCGTAAATTTTTCCGTTTTTTCCAAAGTTTATTGGTTATTTCGGTGTGTTTTATCGTTCAACAAGATATGGTAACTTATATAACAATTATAAGTGCCCCCCCCCCCAAAAAAAAAAAAAAAAATTGACTACGGTATTGTATAATATAATGACCAAATATAATAATAATACTAATTTAATTTAACTGCTAACGACATTACAAATTATATATTTTTGGTTATGTTATTTTATGTACGGTGTATGTAAATTACGTCACTGTGGTGTTAGATAGAGACGTACTTATTGTCTTGTACTTAATTTGTTCGTCCATGTTGACTCTGCTGTAGGTGTATTATTTTCCCTGCGCTTCCCCCATACCACCGGAGATGTGCGAAACTCTCAATATACATAGACCTCCATCTCCTTCTCTTCCATGTGCTCCGGCCAAAAATCCATACGGTGTATAATATATGTGCCCGTGTGCTAGTGAACCCGTGTCTATCATTTCCATACATACGCACATACACTAACTCACACGAACTCACTCTTCATCTTATTCACACATACACACACACAAATGAACACACGCACACAGTACACCAGATATACACGGGCAGCAGTACAATACGGTGACGACGGGCGCCACGGCGCCGTGCGGTCGAAAACCGATGGATTGGCCGCGGTCGACGCGGTATATAATAGTGGCGGCGGTATTGATTCCGTGGCACGGACACCGCCGCCACTGTCGCTTGCCTGCGTGTCGGTCGGCCGTCGGCGTTGTCGGCGTCCGTGGCGTCGGCGGCGGTTACCCCCGCACGACAACCGACCGCGCGGCCGACGTTTAGTACGCGCGTTATGTACCCTGCGCCTCTAGCCGGCCGTTCGTAACCTCTCGCCGGCGCAGGCACTGCGTAGTGATGTTCTCCGCCGCACCCTCCGTATCATTACGTTAACACACGGCGGCGGCGCAAACACACGCTGAAAAGACTTCAGACGACACCACGCCGTCGTGTACAGGCGAGCGCGAGAGAGAGCGACGGCTACCATATCGTAAACGTTGTTTCTCACTCTATTCCCGTTTACCTTCTACACCGTGCCCGTTGTTCACCGCACTTTCGACCCCCCTCCCGCCGTGCTTCCATTTCATACCGCCATCAGTCATGGCGACGGTGCGCGTATATTTCACGATGGGTTTGTGCGTGTGTATCTTTATACCTGCGCGCGCGCACAGTGACGTTGTACCGGCTTACCAGCACGTGCGCGCGAAAACTCAATACACCGCTAACACTCGAGCACGTCACACACACATTTATACAGAAATACGCACGTCTCGTACCATACACTAAAACGCATTGTGATCAGAATCAAAAAATCGTTAACTTTCTTTTAATGTAGTTCGAACATTTTCGTCGTGTATACACCTATAATACTCCTTGAATTCATTAAAACATAATAGTTAATATCAATAATGATAAAATGATAATTTTTTAATATAATTTTTATCCGACAATATTAATTATGAATGAAAAATTAATAAGGCAAGAATACTGCAATGGTATTTTTATTTTATCAAACGACGATTTGATAATATAATACTACAATAGTACAGTTTATACATAATAATATATAATATTAGGGTGGTCCTTATTTTTTTGAACTTCAATAATTTTATGTTACGATTCTGAATTTTCTTAGGTTGTTACATGGTAGAAATAATATTTGCAAATTTTTTGATATAATAAGTCAATCTCTTCACGTGCCCAGAAAGGTTGAAGTTAGTAAAAAAGGGATTGTTTTTGGTTTTTTACGTCTATTTTTTTTAATTCTTAATATACAAAAATGTTATCTGAACTTTACTATTGTTCCTATGAGTTCCTAAATAACAATAACATTTCAGTGAAACTTACCATTGTATGTAAAAAATCGATTTAAAAATTGGTAAATTTGTAAGAGTAAAATTCAATATTATGTATAATTTCCAATCTATTAACTTTTAAATCGATTTTTTACATACAACGGTAAGTTTCACTGAAATGTTAAAAAAGCTATTATTTAGGAACTTTTTTATAATAATAGTTTCTGATAAATTGTATGTATGTTAAAAGATCAAAAAAAATTAATGTAAAAACAACCCCTTTTTTACAAACTTCAACTATTTTGAAGCACGTGAAGGGATTGACTTACCTTATCCAAAATGTATAAAAATAATTTTTGTAATATACTTATTCCACTCTAACCATTCTAAGATTTTTTTTTTTTTTATCGTGTATTTGGTGTTATTTTCAACACCTTTAGCTAAGGATAAAGGAAAACCCTAAATAATATATTATATAAATAATATCAAAGAAAATCTGATTAAAATATACAGAGTGATCATTCTATCGTAAAACACTTGTTATCTCGGAAAGTATTTACTTTTTCCGGAATTCGTTTTCTAGAATATTTAAGAAACAAATTGTTCCAAAATTTTATATTTTTGTTATTCTTTGTCACCCTTATTTTTGAGGTTGAAATCAAATACTACTTTTGATTTTCAAATGGCAACCTATATTTAAAATTCCATAAATAGACGAAGTATTTGTTAAAATATATTTTGGTGTTAACATTTTTGATTTCCGTCAAGCTATTAACGAGATATTCTACTTTTAAGTTTAGGTTGGAGGAGAATAGTGGTGCTTTATTAACACGCCGCGCGTCATACTGCCACACATATGATACTCCACTACTCTCCTCCAACCTAAACTTAAAAATGGAATATCTCGTCAATGGATTGACAGAAATCAAAAATTCTACACTAAAATTTATTTTAAATAATACTCCATCTATTTATAGATTTTTCAATAGAGGTTGCCTTTTGAAAATCAAAAGTAAGTAGTGGTTTTACCTTTAAAAATAAGGGTGACAAAAAATAACATAGCTATAGAATTGTAAGTAGCTTGTTCTTTTAAATATTCTAGAAAATAAATAACGGAAAAAGTTAATACTTTCCGAGATTATGTGTTTCTTATCATAGATAGATCACTTCGTATATCATGCTAGAGAAATCAGTGTGTATCTAACGTATAAATGAGAAGCATATTGGTACATCAAGTATCTCGTTATAATTTAAATTATACCGATACATTTAAATACCTAGTCCTATTTTTCGTAAAACATTGTTCTAGGAAAAATCCATGAAAGGTTTTACCTTTTAGAAAAATGTTAAATAAAATAGTTGAAAAGTCTATTAAAAATCAAAATATAGCAAAATATTTCTTTGGTCTTAGGAGTAATGAGCTTAAGTTAAATTTTGATTATATTCAGTTCACACGAGTTTTAAATGTTGAAAATGCATACACTTGTACAATGACGAATATATTATAATATACTACATATAAGTATATTAATTTTGAAGAAACATTCCTACATCACTTACGCAATTTAGACCAAAAGATAAAGGGGAACAAATTGCATTAGACAAAATTATAAAAAAAAAAAAGCCAATAACTGATTTAGTCTTTCAATATTTAAAAAACAATAATTGTTTGAATCAAAATGCTATCAATAAACTTAATGTAGTGAATCTGTGCATTTGCGGTTATAACCGCAGATGCACATTCCAACCGCTTATATTGAATCTATTTATTTAGGTCAAGTAAATTAATTATAATATTATATTATTTGGTTTAATTAAAGTTAAGATATAATCTATATCTTTGTTGTGAAATTAAGTGTGATATAAATAATAATTATGTTATAGGTGGTACATGTATATTGTATATATTACACAATGTATACATTTTTTCCTGGAAAATATTTTACTTATTATTCTTTATTTCTGTTTTTTTTTTTTCAATAATTTATTTATTTAAATGAGTCCGGGTAAAATAATAATAATAATAATAATATATTGATTATCGTATCATTAATTTTAAATCCCTTGAATTTGATACTTGATTTTTTATTTTAAATTCGGGAATAAAATGACGTCTGTGAAGTTGCCCCCCCCCCCGGACTTTGTCCTATCGATTCTGGATCAATTCCAAAATTTAGTAATCTTTTATTAATTAATTGTAACTGACATCAAACAATTTGTAATCAAACAGTTTCTGAGAAAAAATTAAATTTCCATTTTATGGAGCCATAATTTTATTGAGATCTTATTAACTTCATAGTACGATTTAGATACACGTGTGACCTTCGTAGCACAAAATTAGTAGACATCAATCTTACATATTCAACAAATTTATTTCTTAATTTTTTCACAACTTTCAAATTTTGTTTGACATTATTTTCACTGGTGGGGGTCAATTTTTAATTTTGCGCTGTTAAGTTAACGCCAGCAGTGTAACTGTTTGATGGAACCTGTTTTTTTATGCTATATATTATGTTCTTCTAGACACCGTTGGACAACTTTCAAATTTGCTATTATAATACAATTTCCAAGTGATTTAAATTAATTACTCAAATCAAAGATTAATTCATATAATAGTATACATTCATATATTTAGCATTATGATTTGTGACTTGTTTTGTAAAAAAAATATTTCAAAAAAATATTCAGTAACATTTAAATGCTGTCTAAAAATAATAGATGATTATGATTTATCATTATTAATCTAGTTGAACTCTGAAATACAATTTTTATTCAGCAAAAAACACATAATAATTGAAGAGATTAATAATTTAGAAACAATTTTATCTCAAAATTTAGTCCACTTTAAAAATCATATTTAACAAAAATTATAACATTATAAAAAAGAAAAATGGCATAGGGTTAATGATTAAATTAATATTTTAGTAGCACAAAGTACACAAAAATGTATTACATCTTAAAAACCAGCATTCTTTTCAACCATGAGTTACTAATTTAACTTCCATAATTGTCAATAAAGCTGAAAACAAGTTTTTTAAATAAAGGTAGTATATTAAATAGGTGCATATCACACATTAAACTTTCAATCGAATAAAAAACAATTAATACATAGTGGATCTGTTATAAATTATATAAAAAATTCAAAATCAAAATCAAATAAGATATAAGTTATTAAACAGCACCAATACAAACTACAAAAATAAATCTAATAAAATATTAAAGCAAAATAGTATAGTTAAACGACAAAATACAATTATTAACAACATAGTGAATAAATGAAAAACAATTAATTTAGAAATAGTTCTGGTAGATAAATTTAATGTCATTGTTATCATTTATACTAATGAAATTCATAAAAAATATTTTAGATTTAATTAATAATAATAATATTTAAAATTTGCTAATGACCCAATTATAATGTACACTAAACAAATTAATAAACTGTTAAAAAATTCGAAAAGAAATCATAAATAAAGTCCAAAAGAAAATATTATAAAATTCTGATTACAAAATAGAAGCTCTACATGCACTTACATCCATTCATAAAATTACATAAACAAGATATCCAATTCTTCCATTAATTAATTTTAAAATTACTCCATCTTATAATCTTGCTAAATACTTAGACTCTCTCATAAAAGAATAATTAAACATGAATACAGATATTTCTATAAAAAAAAACACTTATGATTTTATTGATAAAATAAATAAAATTATTATTGATCCAGTTTACAAAATAATTTCTCTTGATGTAAAAAAATGATATATATCTATCACTAAATACGAAACCGTAAATTTTTTAAAAAATAAAATTTTATATAGCAATAAATTCAATACAAACGAAGTACAAGAAATTATTCAATCAATAAATGTAATAACAATAAATAAATAATCAAAGGTATTTCCAATATAATAATCAATTATATTTGCAAAAAGAAGGGTTAGTTATGGGTGGAACTTTAAGTGCTCTTTTATCTGAAATTTAAATGCAAAATTATGAAACCCACAATATTATTAATGATAAAATATTCAGTCCATATATAAAAGCATAATAAAGATATATTGATGACATTTTAATTTTATTTAAAAGTTCAAATAGACAAACTGAAAAATTAGTTAACTACTTAAAAAAAAAATAAATAAAAACATTCAATTTACATTCGAAACACAAATAAATAATAAATTTAATTTCTTAAATCTTACAGCTCCCATAAAAAAAAAAAAAAAAAAAACAATTTGATTTTAGTATTTACAGGAAACCTACATAATAGTTACTGATGCTATAATACCACATGATTCTAATCACCGTTATTCTCAAAAAATTTAATTTTTCAATTCAATATTCTATAGGCTTGAACATATTCCATTAAATAAACATTATTATCAACATGAACTCAATATTATCTATAATATTATAGTTCATGGAAATAATTTTAGTTTAAATACTATTAAAAAAATTCATAAACGTATTAAAGAAAAAATGATACACGACTCACTTAATAATGTTGTTAACTATTTTAATATGAAATAACAAAACAATATGTCTAATGAATTCACTAAAATTGTGAACAATAATACAAATTATATAAAAATCGGTTTTGATACTACTAATAATTTAATCAAGCATGTAAACAATAGAGCTAAAAACTTCACAACCCCCCTCTTTTAATAACTAATAACAAATAGACATTTTAAAATAGGATATAAAAAACACATTTCTGAAATAAAATTTAAAAAGACTCTCCCTAATTCAAATTTCGTTAAACATGTTTTAGAAAATGATCATAATATAAGTTTTGATATTAATACAAACTTAGAAATATTAAATACCCAAAATAACATTTACATTTATTCAGTTTTAGAAGAATTACACATACACAATGAAATAAAGAAAAATAATTTTAATAGTATTTGAATGTTCAAACCAATTTTAAAAATAATATCTTATATCAATACATTTTAGATAGTAAATAATAACTAAGTAATTTATAATTCTTAGCATATCTATGTCTAATAATAACTAATTTTAAATAATCTCTTCTATTAAAACAAATGATTTTTATATTCTATGTAAAACAACCAATTTGTAATAATAAATATTTCTAAACATACTTAACTATTATAGACTATTGTTGAAATAGTATATTTGTAAATATGTGTAGTAAGTTTTATT